GAACTGGCGGTCAGTTTCAGCAGCGGCTGAATCTGGACGCCAGTTCCGACTTACATACAGATTCAACTTAAGAACAAACCTACAGTCCCTATCTTGTACGTAACCCGGGGACTGCCTGTACTTAAATTGTTTTTCTGTAGAATATGTAAAGAGATTCATTTGATGGTGATGTGAACAGAGTGTTGGACTCGTTCCAAGGTGCTATCTTTGATTAACCAATGAAACAAACTGAAGTTGCACTCAGGGAACAAGGCTGAGCCTCCTTTAAACTAAGAGCACTGACAACAGAATCTAACTTCAAGCGCATAGAGTAAACATTGACCTTACAGTAGTTCAAGGGATTTTCAGGACAACAAGTTAGATGAATTTATAGAATGTTCTTAGGCTGCTAAAATCAACTACAATTAGGCTTCTTAGAGAAGCAGTTTGTTATTGACTATCTTAGGACCAGGGCTGTGGTCAGAGACTACATTGCCTTCCCTCTCTCTTAAATGATTTTACTCATTTGTTTGTAAGCATTATGAATGCTTTAAGAGCTAAGCTTGAAGCAGCCAGATTCTGCTTTGTCTTAGCACTTGACACCTTAGCAAAAAAAATCTTAACAAATAAAACCAAAATAATGGCTAACAAAACAGGGGACATCTAAGTAGGAAGAATGATTGATTAAAAGATTTGCAGAGAGAACTGCTGTCCTATTATATAAATAGTTTGGCTGCATGTGTTCTCTTGGATATTAGTAGTAACTGGGATAGTGGCCCCCACGGAATCCAAATTTTGCTTACTGGAATTATGGCACTATATTATTTGCTCAAAGAAACCTATTTCAATATGCGATCTGATAAGAACAGGAACACATACCTGTACAAGTGCTAGATAAACCTACTCCTAATCTGAAACTTGAGTCAAAATGGTTAAGCAATATTACTAAAATGTGAATGAACATCTTACATCCAACTTAAATAAACATCTCAAGCAATTTGTTCTTTCTGTACACAGGAGACAACAATATTACTATGACAAGTAAGTACACAATCATTTGGGTCCTGCAATATTTTGACAGTAAAGATATCAACTGAAGATACTTCACACATACCTGATCAACAGCTATCACCTTGAATCTCACTTCCCCCATCAACCACTGAGCAAATGACTACATGGGTTATCTACAAAATACTGTAATTCCTTATACTGAATATCTAAATAAAGCTTTTAAAAATAAACATAAAAATAAGAAATCTCTTTTAATATAAAATAAAAATATTTTAAAACAAGAGAGACTACGCTTCTTAATAAGACCAGTCCTTGCAATGCTGACTTATTACAGAAAACTTTTTACCACCAAAAGGAGGCTTTACTGGAGAGCTGAGCGTGAAGTAGATAATTGTTTTTCTATCTCTTGTTAGGAGACACTCCTTAATACACAGCAATATGGATTCTGAGGGAGGAAATCTATTCTACATGGGAAGTCCAGTTAAATGATCACAGTGGTTCTTTCTGGCCTTTGAATGTATGAATCTTGCCTCAATGAATCAATGGAAAAATTCCCAAAGACTAAGTATTACTTCTTTGGACTGTAAGTATCCAACATCTTTTAGGCAAATACAATTTGATGCATTTATGGAAAAGTTTTCTTTGTCACAAATGAAATGTGAAAAATGACTATTAGAGCCATGACTATTGGAATTTAGAAAATCCCAACATATAAAGGAAATTTAAATGCAAGCTATACAAAATAAATATGTAACAAGAAAGTGGTAGCAGAATGTACTATTTAACCTCAGTTTTTTTTAATCTTTAATATTGATACGTCTATGATTTCCTAAGAGACAATTGCTTGTTGTGACATTCACACACACTCACCTTTAATATTGTTTTGGGGCGTTTTTTAAAGTAAAGTTTTGGCTTTTCAATCACAGGAAGAGGTGGAAGTTTTTTGAGTTCTTGTAAGACAGTCATTGCAGCGCGTTTCTTTGAAAGTTTCTTACTGTTTCCTTCTCCTTCTGCAGAGAACTCTCCTACTGAAACTCGAGTAACAAAGCTCTTCATGTGTGGAGGGCCACTTTCCTTAATCACCTATTGAACAGATAATTATTTCAAGTCAAATCACCTTATGAGTACCCATATCTCATATTTAACTTCATAATGCATCAACACAACATAAAGACATGATCATATAGTGTTTATCACAAGTACAGCATCTTTTTTCTTTCATTATTTGATTAAGCTTAGATGTAAAAGGGAGTGGGAGTTTTGAGTTTTGGCAGGAGTTCAGATATGCTGGTTATTGGAGAAAAAAGCAGATATTTAAAGCAGTAAGTCTGACTTCAGTACCGGGCAAATTAGTCGAAACAATAGTAAAGAATAAAATTGTGAGCCATGTAGAAGAACATAATTTGTTAGACAAAAGTCAACATGGTTTCTGTAAAGGGAAATCCTGTCTTACTAATCTATTAGGGTATGTCTACACTACCCCCCTAGTTCGAACTAGGGGGGGTAATGTAGTCATACGGAGTTGCAAATGAAGCCCGGGATTTTAATTTCCCGGGCTTCATTTGCATAAAGCCAGCCGGCGCCATTTTTAAATGCCGGCTAGGTCGGACCCCGTGACGCGCAGCTACACGCGGCACAGACTAGCTAGTTCAGATTAGGCTTCCTATTCGAACTAGCTGTACGCCTCGTGGAAGCCTAATCCGAACTAGATAGTCCGTGCCGCGTGTAGCTGCGCGGCACGGGGGCCGACCTAGCCGGCCTTTAAAAATGGCGCCGGCCAGCTTTATGCAAATGAAGCCCGGGAAATTCAGATCCCGGGCTTCATTTGCAACTCTGTATGACTACATTACCCTCCCTAGTTCGAACTAGGGGGGTAGTGTAGACATACCCAGGGTGCTCAAGGCTCCTCTGCACACAGCAATCCTGCATTGGCAGGGCCCAGAGCTAGGGAATCGGTTCTGTTGTCGGGTGTGTCTAGGATTGGGGTGTGTCTAGGCTGCGGGTGGTATTTCCAGCTGGAGGAGATGCAGTTGCCCTAGCTCTCAGCAAGCTAAAAATAAATAACAAGGTTGTGGCAATGTGAGTGGTGGGAGAGATATTTCCTCTGAACAGATACCTAGCATCTCTGGGCATGCGCTTGGGGCAGCTAGCCCCTCCTGCCACTTGCACTGCTGTGGGGATAACAGGAGTC